CCCAGCGTGGGGGCGGCAGGGCTGGGGCTGGGACCAGGGCTGTGGGCTCCCCGTGCTCTCCTCATGCTGTCCCCTGTGGGGACACCAGCTCGAGGCTCTGGGCTCCTCACGTGGGGCACGGCCTGTCCCAGCATCTTCTTCTGGAGCTGAGGGTCCTTCCAGATCCCCTATCACCTGAACGCCCCCAGCCATCGTCCTCCCTCCCCTCCTCCTGCAACGTCACCAGCTGCAGAGGGAAGGCCCCCGCATAGGTCATGACCTGGGGGCTTCCCCGGGAGTCCTCCTCTCCCACGGTCAGAGCCCTGGTCGGAACTGAGGGGAAATCTACTCTAGGCCACGACTCTCTCCTTTACACTTGGGGACACTGAGGCCCACACAGGAGAGGGGCACGTCCAGGCCAACGCCTGCAGAGGACCCTGAACTGAGGGTGTAACTCAGCCCCTGCTCCCCATGGGCCCTCCCACCACTCCTGACAGAGAGCCTCACTCACCCTCAGAGCCCCTGGAGCCCCGCTGTCCCCCTGGCATCTCTGAGAGACTGGAAGAAAAGCCCCTGGACAGCGGCCCCTGTGACTCACCAGCTGTTGAGCTGGGCCCTGTGGGTGAGGGGCCGGGGTCTGTAGGGGATCCTGGGGAAAAAGACAAGAGGGGGGCTGGAGCTTCCCCTAGAGACCCTGTCTCTGCTCACACTCTTCTCCCTCATGTGCCCTGTGGCCCCCAAGGTCCCCCTCCTCCGCCTGGAGAATTCTGGTGATGGGGGCGAAGGACGAAGCAGGGGTGGGAGGGCCCTGTTTCCCTCCTGCACTGTGAGCTGTGGACCCCTCTGCTGACGCTCCCTCGGAGCCCCTCACTCCCATCCTAGACCAGAGCCCTCCTGGGCACAGGGTCCTGAAGACAATGTTGGGACACAGAGGGGACAGGATAAGGGGCCCCTCACCTGAGACCAGGAGCTCCAGGGGGTCACTGGGCGGGGACAACAGGTAGGGGGAGGCGCTGGATGAGCCGTAGCACCTGTAGGTCCCCCCGTGGGCTGAGGTCACAGGACTCATGGAGAATTCAGCCTGGTGCTGCCCAGCTCGGCGCTTTGATCTAAGACGCAGGGGGGGATCGGCTGCCCCCTCCTTGGACAGAAGGAAAGAGTCCTCAGAGCCCCATGACTGACACAGCAGGGTCACATTCTCTCCTGAGGTCACCGTGGGTCCCGGCTGCACTGAGAGGGAGGGTGTGTAGGGGAGCTGTCCTAGAGAGAGGAAGGGCAGGTGAGGGGCTGTCCAGCCCTTGCTCTGAACTGAGTCTGTCTGTCCTCTGAGTCTCTCCCTTCCCCGTCCCCTGTCTCTCTCCGTCTCTCTCCCTCCCTGGGGACCCCACACCCCTGGTCCCACCACCACCACCTGGGCCCCCCTGGCAGGACCTGTGCAGAGTCTGGGGTCCTGACTGACCCCGTCGCATCTCACCTGCGACCAGGATGTCCAGGGGGTCACTGGGGGCCGACCACTCGGAGGAGAGCTTGCGTCCACCATAGCATGCGTACCGGCC